GGGGGGGGATGTCTTTCAGACTATGTGTTCCCAGACAGGTCTTTTACCCTACTATATAATTTCAGGCCTGTCTTCCAAAAGAGAATATTTCTATAACACACAAACAACATAACTCCTGCCAAGGCAATACAATCAAAGGTCATCCTAGTCAGCTACGTTCACTTGCTAAGAAACATTAAGCATTGTTTAAGCTATAGTTTTACTTAGAAGAATAGTTTTACTATAGTATTATAGTTCTACTTAAAAGCTTACTATAGAACTATAGTTTTACTTAGAAGAGTATTTATTTTTTTTTTAGAGGTGTAGGTAGTAATAAAGTTATGCAAATATCTTGGAAACACATAGCAGCATTTTTGTTCTTTCCCTCCTTCTCTGCTGCAGCTCCTCTGCTCTTTACCTGATTTGTTCTACAGAAGATTGCACAGTTGTTCAGACTGATCATCCCCCCCATCATGAATTTAGTGTGAGATTTATATGTCATCCTAGCCTTACTAGGAGTTCAAAGAATACCACCTAAATTACATGGACATTTATAGCACAGGATGCAACCACAGCAAGAAAAGACCATCTGCTCCAAATTTATCTATGCAGTTTACTTCCTCTACTTATTTGCTTTTGTTTTCCAAACATTACAAAGTATCTACTGCGAATCTGACATCTCCTGTAGCCCTTAGCACTACCCAGCATTTTGAGAAGATTGGCTCATTACTCATTGATTCCTGGGACATGAACACCCTCCTGATCAATGTCAAATAATCAAGGTCACCACAGTTCTAGCTCAGCTGACATGAAAATAACTAACGATTTCATTAATATGATAGATTAAGGGGAGTGATAATCAGTGATAGCTTATTCTGTACTGCTGTCTCTATTGATGCATTTCTGGTGCTTGAAACATTAGACAATTTTCTTTTATTAAACAGACTTAAAAGACATTGGCAATATCCCACTTCCTTGGGTATGTTCCAGGGAGCTCCTCCTTTCAATGTAAGTAGCATGTCAAACTCAATATAGTTTTCTTCGTCAAATGTTATTAACACTAAATGTTTCAGTGCTACAGTGCAGCAAGATATCCAAAGGGCTGTACAGTCTATTATAGATCCAATTTCATTTTCCATTTATATTAATGACACAGAAAAGACAGCTGGTAGCTCTTCTTTATTTTGAAGCAGATTTCGCCATTTGTATCTTCTTGGTATGAAATCATTCACTTCCACTTAAGAGTAAACTGCTAGCTTCAGTTAGCTTCTGCTTGCAAATAACAGCAAACTGGAGATGTGATATAGCTCAAAAAAAAGTCAATTTAGCAAGGTTACACCTGATGATAATATGCATTAGGTTAACAACAGAGCAGCTCCTCTTTCAGACTAATTTTACCTTTGTTTTGACATATTAAAGGCTGGCTTTGATATTGAATAGAGCAATTGCAAAATCAAACTATTTTACACAAATAATACATTTAGAAATATAATATTATATTTACCCCTAGCAATATCCCTAGCAATATCAAATTCAAGTCACTCATTTGCTACAGATATGGGCAAATACTAGTAATTGTCCATTGAATCCCTAACAACATCTTAAATTGATATATGTTATTTGATAGAACATGATCTGGCAAGAAAGTTTGGTTGTTGTTGAAATTTTCCTGTTTAATTTCATTGCATCAGAAATGATCCAGTGTGTCTAGTGAATAAATTACRGCTAGTGTTAAAGACTTTGATCAATTATGCCTAATGTTAAAGACTTTGGTAGATTACACTTAGGAAAATTTCTAAAACAAAAAATCTTAAATCTGTTATATTCATAAATATCAGAT